TGTTTCATTACCCGGGGCCTTTTAAAAAAAAAAAAAAAAAAAAAAAAAAAGATGTATATAAAATGATCTCGCAGGCCGGGTGTAATTGTACGCTGGGCCGGATGTGGCCTGCGGGCCTTGAGTTTGACACATGTGAATTAGCATATGTTATTTCCTTACAGTACTAAGAAAAATTTTTTATTTACACAGGTTCAAAAACTACTGTAAAAAATATAGCTCACTGTGTTTCTCACTCAGTTTCACCTAAGCTGTCATACTGAAATATTTTAACTTTATCCTCTCTTCAGGTTGTACATGTTGCCCCTGTACACATCTCCTATCAACAGTACTGGCACACCCTCAGGGGTCAAAGGTCATGGCAGGTTGAGGACAAGGCCTCCTGACACGGAGCGCTCTTTGAACATCTCTCTGAACAGAGCCATCAGAGCAGCTCGAAACATGAGGCACACCTCTAGCCATATGGCTCGCTCTCTGTCTACTGGACTGCAGTACCAGGAGCTGCTGACTCAGTCCTGCAGCTACTAGTTGGAGCTCCTTGCACAACCAGCTTCAACTGAGCAACATTCACTTACCAGCTGAAGTTCAGCTTCAACACATGGGGGTCAACATCAATGAAGGACCAAAGTGAATGAAAAATATCCTCTTTTTTACGCTTCTTTGGTTCCTACATTTGGAGTTGGAAAAAACAGAGAAAAGGTGAAGCTTAATGTTTTAGATGCATGTTTAAAGCAACATTTAAATCTCAGGTGAAAAAACAAGGAACTTTTCTTTAATAAGCATAATATATATTTCAAAATATGTACTGGCATACATTGAAATGACTGTTTTATAATGTCTGTAGCACTGTAGAGTTTAAATATGTTGATCACATTTTTAAACGAGGTGAAGAAATGTTTTACTTCTTCTGACATAAGAAAAACATTTACCTTGATATGGCAGCAGTCATGACTTGATAAATAATTCTGAGCTATTTATTGGATCTTGTGACTTTTTTCTATTTTGTAGAAATCTAAAAATGTTTAGGATTTTAGTGTTAATGCAGTTAACTTGTATGCTTTTTTTTTTAGTGTGGAAACAGTAATATGTTACACTGATAATGCCCATGCTAATTGCACCTGTTGTCCATTTTGGATGGTCACACTACAATATGTAAGATTTGAGTCTTATAGACTCTAGTTACTTTATCAGCTTTAGTAACTTCTCATACCTTTAGTTACCTTTCATAACTTTATTTTCCTTGTTTATACATATTACAGCTGTATTGATTGTCCAGAACTACTAAGCTTTGGTTATTTTTAATACATTTATTTCCCCTGCTTATATATCTTACAAATGTAATGAAGTAGAATCTGCTTACTTTGAATGCTGTAACTTCTGTGTAGAGACAGGATGTCTGCATCTCCTTGTGACCAGACCGCCTATTTATATTTTAGCAAAGGCCTGTTGGTTTGTTTTACACCCACAGTAGACCCACTTAGTATATTCCAAGATTCTGCTTTGTCTTGGGATGTCCTGCAGAGGCCGGGGGCTACAACCTGAGATGACCACCTGGCCAGTTTAACATACTTATTAGCATCACACACAAAGGGGGCCTAGCCAGACAAATGCATTGTAAAAACCTAACACGGGGCTCAGAGAATGGAACTCCTGTGGGAGCTCTGTCCCTCTGATCCCAGCGCTGTAAGGCCTACCTGTGCTCAGACTTCCAGTAAACTTCCTATTGATCTTAAACAGTCCTCTCCTGTCTTCACTTCTCATGCTTCCAACAAAAGAATTGGGTTAATTTCTAACAAACAGCATTAAAGTTAAATGACGTTTAACCAGTATTTTGGCCCCAACAAGGGGTATCTGGTCATGCTGTCAAATCTTCAGAGGCCCCGAATTAGCAACAATTTTTTTTCAACCCTTGCCCAGCATTCCATGCACTTATCAGAAACTTTCTCCACTCTGACTTTACAAAAGGCATCCCTGAATCCTATCGTCACCAAAGTAAAAAGCAGATATACAGTATTGACTTAACACAGCCTCTGCATTGTATTTACTCAAGTTACACAGTGGCTGGCCCAACGTGCTTGGTAAGACAATCAAATCTGAGTATCGGGCCCAACCAACTGTCCAGCCACCAGCACTGTTTTACCACAACTGTGACTCAGAAGAAAACCACCATTAACACCCCCTCAAAATCAGAAACTCTATCATCAGCAGCACCAATCTAAATTCTGTGGGTGTAAAAGGCAACTCTACAGGGTCATTGGGTGATCACCCTGAGTTGACCCAGGACACACAAGACTGAAAAGTGACCCCCTTTGCCTGCTCCCATACACCCAACACACTGCTTTTTTAACATCTACTCTCTTACTAGCCTAGTTTACCAAACCAACCACCCAGGCCAACTGTTAACAATGAGTAAGCCACAGCAATAGCACAGACACCCTGAAAGACAAATGAAAGGAAAAAAATACTGGCAATCCATTTTCTAAGTCTATTTTTTTTCCTAAGAATATGTGAAAAGAATTTTCCTTGCCTATTATCTGTTTTTAAAGCTCAGTGTTTTCTCTCTTTATTTTGATGTGCAATTCACAATGAGGCAAGTTACGTTGCGTCACGAGATATGGAAACGAGTAAGGGGTGACAATTTCCAACAAATTTGCAAAAATTGCGCTGGACAGGCTGTTAGGGTTAAACTGTAAAATCTGATTTAATGCGGGTTATGTACGTCGATCTACCATCCTCTGTCATCTTTTTCTCTCAGCTCAGCTGGGTGCCCCTATGTCTCCACTTCCTGTATAAGTTTTCAAATTAAAAGCCTTATGCAAAGTCATGTAATGGTGCCATTATATTATGCAGAGGTGAAGAGTACTCAGGTACTGTACTTAAGTACAATTTTGAGATATCTATATTTGAGTAGTTTCATTTTCTGCTACATCATACTTTGACTACATTTCAAATAAATACTGACTTTGTACTCTATTTGACAACTTTAGCTACTAGTCACCTTTCAGAAAGGTTAATAAAACAAAATACAGTATACAAGATTTATTGAACCTTGGTGTAAAATTCACAAGTACTTAAAATTATGAGCATTTAAATTAACTACACCTTCACCAGCTGCAACATTAAATGTGATGATGCAATAATTATCAAATAATGTAAACTGTACCATTTCAGAGTATTTTTACTTTTGGTAGTTAAAGTATATGTTTTCTACTAATACTTTTACTTAAGTAACATTTCAAATGCAAGACTTTTACTTGTAACAGTATTTCTACACTGTGGTATTGCTACTTTTACTTTGTAAACAATATGAGTATTTCTTGCAACACTGATATTTCATAAAACACACAAGGTGGCCCACCACTGCAAGATTATTGCTGCTCCTGCTAAATGTATGTGACAAACACTGTGCAAGAGTACCTGGCTGCAGACAAGATGGCGGACCTCCACAACACAACACCTCTGTAGTTCACAGGAAATCATGTGCTTCTGCTCAATTGGGTCTTTTTTTTTCCCCAAACAGTTCTACTCAACAGTACCTTATCATGTTTGAAAACTAAAGAGACTAAATTACCGCTGTTAAACCATCTTGCCTTCTGTAGCACCAAATGGACTAACTTTACCTTCTCATCTTCATCCTACTCTGCACATGCGTAATGCAGATCTCTCCCCCAAAACGTCCGACCTCTAGTACTGTAGAGGTTTTGCATGTAGGTGCTGAACTGCTGAGATCCACTATTTGTTTGCAGTCAGGATGATAGGAAAAATTTTAAGGAACTTTAGCAGGCCATTTTTTTCACCTGTTCTTAGGTCCTAACCACTGGAGACCAAAAAAGATCAGACTTTAAAAACAGTTCACCAGAATTTTTTCCTCCTTACCTCTCATGGTTTCCATATGTTTGATTTGATTTGATTTGATTTATTCTTTTCTTTCAAGCATGTAAAGACAGTTGATATGTCAACACACATAATTTTACACATATCCAACAAATGCTAATCCAATATCAATTTGCTTATACCTAGTACATGCTTGAATGGAGTAGGAAGAAGTCAGACTTATCC